CTACTACTACTACTACTACTACTACTACTACTACTACTACTAAGCTAACATTTGATTGCCTCTTAATGCGGTTGGTCATTTAAAGTAGACGCCTCATAACCTTAGTGGCTAATCCACACCCTGCGCACTGGGACACTTGGAAGGTCCCGGTACCATGTTTCCATCCCATAGTTTCGCCTGTCGACTTGCCATTTTGCGTAAAAGTCCAAATTGCGTCTCAAGTCTGAAGAATTGGGGAGGCGAAAGTGGGAAGCTTGGCCTGGCGCTGTCAGCCAGACTTGTCCCGATTGAGACGGAGCCACGGACTACTATTGAATCCCCCAACCGCGATGAATCCACCCTAAATCAACTGCTAGTTCAAGGGGGGGCGGCGCGCGGATGGGCGGATTGGTGAAAGGTGTGGTCCAACCTTGTTTCTTTTGCGGTTCCTCCATTGAATCGATCCACGGCCCAGAACTTTGAGCGTTTTGGAGATTTTCGAACCTTTTTGTGAGGATTTTCAAGAAAGGCTCCTCTTGTCGCCCGCATGGCCAGCCTCGTGCCAAAAACCACGGTGTGGGTTTCTCCGACCCACGTTCCCGTCGCCGCTTTTTTTTCCTTTTCTTCTTTTTCTTTTCGGCCAGCCGCCCCTCCCTATTGGGGCATTTTGGCAATGGGGACCTGTTCTTGCACCTGCTCTTTCCGGTATGACGAGAGTGGTGGTTGTTGGTCTTAAGGAGCCAATGGGAATTGGGCCCTTTTTTTACTCCCACTGCTCCATACTTACATTGAGCTCCTTTGCGAATTCCAGTCCCTTAGTAATGAGTTTCTTCCAGCTACTTAGAACTTGGTAGTACCGTAGACTACGATGTCACCAAAGAGTGTGCACCACGCGACAGCCCCTTCCCTACCTTAGTACTTACTGACTTACCAGAGCCATTGTCTAGTCCAGTCCCCGTTCAGCTCGTCCCAGGGATCTGACCTAAACTGGTTCGCGCAGCCATCTTCGATGGTCGGCATGCACGACGAGTGACTCGATCTTGGCCCGATGCATGTGGTCACCCACCAGCGTCTATCTAGTTATTTTCCCCTGTCGCTCAGTCCTGCAACCCTCGCCTATTAGCCTGTTATCGTCGAATCGAAGCGTCCCACCCTGCCCTCCTGGGGGGATCAGGAAGAAACTTTAAGTTAAGCTAAGCCCGAGAGGTGATGAGCTGTACCTATCATATTGATCCTTGGTGGTCCTCACCAGCTTCTCTCCCGGGCTCCAGTGGCCACAGACCATGGCCCTGAGGGGAGGATTGTGGACAGCAATGAAAGTGAAAACGCCCCAGCCGAACGGTTGCAGAAAGTGGGCGTCCGTCAGTCAAGAGTCCTGGCCACCGCCCCCTCCTCCTCCCCGGCATCCACCTTGACGTTTCTATAGATGGTGCGGTTTGGAAAGGGGGGCGCGGCGTAAGAGTAAGTAGTTTGGTACACTTCGTAAGTTCGTATATGATGTTGGGAAATTTAAGATGAGCCTCTTGGAAGGAATGGCCTGGGCAGTTAGATTAAGCATGATTGTCGGTAGTGCTTTTCCTGACCAATTGCTATTCTTGGGTTTTTCTCTCTTTAATTTTTCCCGTAGTTGATTACTCACTTACTGCGTGTTATGTTCAGCCGCTCATGGCCCCAGCCAACAATAACAATAACAACAAAGCAAAGAGTTGGAGGTAACTAGCTATCTAGTAGTATCAATCTCGAGCCTCTCTGTCTACTATTAGGATAAACTCAAATCATCTCTTTCAGCTGCTCTCGCATCCACCGAGACCATTCTCCTCTTAGTGTATCTCCGTACCAATGATGGTACTCGCCTGGCTGTTGTCAATTGGAGACTTTCCAGGTGAGTGAGAGAGCGAGTGAGTGTGTGTGCCCCATTCTGCTCCTGGTTGATTGATGTGGATGTTGCGTGTGATGTGTTCTATCCTCCTCCCTTTTCCGACCTATAGCGGAGTTCAAATTTCTCGAGCTGTGCCGCTAGCGTAGGGCGCGGCCTACCCAGTTCCCGCGCTCTGACGTCGGTGAGAGACGGTTCCTTCCCTCTTGCCCACCCACCCACTTCCATCCCTAATCCTAATAGTGTCAGTCAAGTCACACTCATTCAGGAGGAGAAGAATAAAAGGACGATGGAGGACGATGGGGGGAGCTAAGACCCGAGCATGGTCTCTCTTGCCCCGTTTCTCGTCTCGTTGCATGGATGGGTTTAAACCCAGAGAAGCAAAAGCAGAGCAGAAGATAACTGGGGGTTCCCAGAACCATGAAGCCATGGGAATGGATGGAAATTGGTTTCCAGTACCATGTCACTAGCCCAGCCAGAACCGAGGACGGGCGGGTCAGCCCATACAATCCCGGTAACGTGGTCGCGATCTGAATCGGAGATGGTTCCATTAATTATCTTACTACTATCTACAGTAGTGTGGTAGTGTGCTCTTCTGGGTGAGTTGCTCAGATCCCAAGCGGCATGGGGGGAAAAATATAATTTAGTACAAAGTAAATTGATCACAAGTCCAGTGGCTGAGGAAATATCCGGTGTTGCACCTTCATATTATATTTTTTTTTTTGTTGAGGCGGAGGTCATGTTTGGAAAATTACCATGGCAGGGTCTTGCGACCGCAAGAGATTGATTCATCGTCATCACGTTCTTACATGAGTATCACCATCATCGTCGTCAGCTTGGCTGTTTTATTTAAGGAAACAACCAAGAATCAGGTTGACGTGACCCTGAATTGTCTGGTAGAGATGAGTTTAGTGGTTTTCTCTAATTCAATGGAAGTGCTCTCTTCCGCATCGTCAGGCGGGGCTTGTTGGATATTACTTGTTACCAACAAGATGAGGGGAAGAACGATCCCTCGCATCCACACAATCTCATGCAAGCACGGGTGCTTGTCTACTTACCTCGATAATAGTCTAGTCGTTCCTCGGAATCATTCGCACCCTCGGGTTACGAGGAGGGGAGGAGGATTGTGGTTGACTCCGCACCAAGAGAGGCAAATACCTCATGACGGCAGACTCCGACCCCATATTAACACGCGAGAGCTCCAACTCTGCAGACCAACGCAAATTGAATTGCGATCGAAAAGCCATGTCGTCATCCTGCATGGGTCTCTGCCTTTTTCCGCAGCAACCCTTCCCCGATATCATCACCTACAGCATCATGGCTGAAACTGTGCAGCAAATGTTGATGATTAGTCCGATCTAATTTGCTCTACTTGCATGAGAGTGCGGGTTGAGCTTGCTAGTTATGTAGTATGTACGGTAGATATCTGACCACAGAAAGTAAATGACGACCTCGCCCTATAGTCCGGATCACGTCCCATCCCGGTCTATAGTAATCGGCTAAGAACCATGAACTGGTTGGACAAAGCTGCAATACGAGCCTACCTTTCTGCCACAAAAATAATACCAAAGTGAACAAACTTTCATTCTTCGATCTTTCCGATAGATGGTTGTTCTCTGTAACGCACGGTGCACCCATCGCATGATACATTTGGGCCTTGCGCCGAATGCTGTACCGCCGACCATGCATGCAAAAACGAATCCGAACAATACCTTCGACAGGAAGAATATTCGATGGAAACTCTGCGCAGAGGCATGGAGTTGTGCTCCATAGTGCAGCTGCCTGCAAAAGGGTACTTACTTCCTGTGTGTACTGCTGTGTGTACTAAGAATCTCCCAGCATCAGCAGTGAGCCGCCCGTTGCTATACCGCCTCAACCAGGATCCCTTTCCTGCGTAGTGGTATTACGGGGATTCCTAGGCCCTGCAGCCCGCCCGCCCTATGGCCTCCGGCTACGGCGTTCCCAGGCGGCCAAGTCATCAACTCTACCACTTCTTTACTAGACTCAGATGAATTAATCACCAATCATCGTGCTTGGACTCTCTGGACTTGGGTCTTGGCTGCTTTCTTGCGCAACATGTCCACTGCATAATGGCGTCCTATGAATGCCACCATTGGCTGCCGACTGTGATATAGAACTTTTAAGGGGTGGGATGGGAATCGGAAAGCAACACTTATTATTTTCTCCTTTACCAGAGTGGTTTTGAGGCAGCCGTTTGGTTCTTACTTACCCCCTCCATGTGCCGTCTGTTCTCTTACCTTTCGCCTCTCTTCGGGAGGACATTTCAGTTCTGGTGGTGTACCTGTGGTAACATTACCGGTATCGCAGTAGAATGCGCTTTTGAATTACCACATCAGCGTACTAACCAGGTACCTGCTAAAAGGCCTGCCAGATCCAAAAAGGCAAAAGAAAAGGAAAAGGGACAGCCAGTCAATCATGGCTAGCAGATGGGGTTTTTGGCCCACTCCATTCCTGGGAGCTTTTTTATCTCTAGTCGTCCAGTGACTTCCTCCCCCACGGAACGGGTATACCCTTTGACGTATCTTTGTGATCTGCCGCCACTTCCCCGCTACCTTGAAACACTCTCAAGGGCTCAAGGCGAACCTTGGTCGCTGCATCTAAGCTTAACTCTTGGCGTTGCCTACCCTCCTGCAATCTTTCCCGTTTCCCTTTTTCTTTTTCTTTTTTTTCTGCTTCACATTATTTTCTTTTCCCATTGATCCACACCATTTTCGTGTCTACCCTCCTCCTCCCACGCCTTTCTCTTTTGGTCACTGGTCACTCCCCTCCCGACACGCTACTTTGTATAGACACGGCACAAACTACACCATTCAGTTCTTCCCTCTCTCTTCACCCCCCCCGCCCCCCTTTACACTCTCAATCCTTTTTGGGCGTAGTCTACCTTCCCTCACCCAGGTTCAACTTACTTGCCTTCCTCTGTAGGCTCGCAAGCCCACCGTACTCCGTAACCTCTTCCACACCCACGCCCCCCTATGGATATGATGAATTATTCCCGCACGCCAAAAACTGCCACAAATGGAGAGTGCACGGAACGAAGAGTAGAGGAAAATAAAATAAAACAGAAATTATGGAGTAGGCACTCCATATTCCACAGTGGCTAACCATGAAGGAGAAAGAGTACCTGTGCCTGACTGAAGTTGTCGTACTCCATACGCCATTCCATGAATCCCTATTGCTTGTATTTGCCTTTTTCTTCTTTTGCGCCAAAATCCACACTTTGTTCACACCCCTCTCTCCCTTCCCCTACTTGCGTTGTCTGCTACGGAGTACTATCTATCTCTCCTTTTCGCTTTTGCCCTTTTGGTCTTTTGACTTTGGGCTCAACGCTCGTTTCTTTTTTGTGGCCGTCCCGTGTTCGCCTCCTAAATAGTTAGTTAGTCAATAACGAGATAATTGTTGCTGCTTAGATAGAACTACTTACTTCCTGCTTAACATAACATAATACTTAATATTACAAAACACATAGTCACTTACTGTCTGCAACCAGCAAAGTATATCGCAGTAGTAGTCCTTGTCCCTCGTAATTAATATACATATACATACTTACATACATACATACATGCCTGCTTGCCTCAGCTCAACAGCGGAGTTTCAGGTGTCCCCTTTTCCGCACACCCTGCGCGTTTTAGCCTTTTTACGTTACTTAAATGCTGCTGTATGAATTATATTACAATTTCGAATTAAATCAAACACAAGTAAGCAAGTAGTGTCCGATTGCTAGTTAGTTAGTTAGTTAGTCTTGTCTCGCAGCACTTGAATCTGGAGATGACGCAAGATTTGTATCGCCCAGTCCGATTGTTATTTCATCTATCTACTAGATACCCATGCATTTCGTTTCCCTTAGATTATGGTGATCATATTAGGAAAGTGAACACAAAAATAGAAAAGAAGCAAATGGTGGGATGGGGAGGACCTAGAAATTCATTTTCTGGAAAATGAAATGGGGCTATGGGGGTGTGGGAGTGAGGGAATGAGAAAAAATAAAGAATAGAATAAAATAGGAAAATAAATAAAATAAAATAAAAAGGGAAAAATAAAAGGAAAATGAATAGGGGAAGGGAAGGAAAAATGGTGAGAGTTGAGTGAGAGGAAAAGCCAAAAAAGAAAAATGCAGGAAGGGAAAAGGAAAAGGAAAAGAAAAAGGGAAAAAAAAAAGGGCAATGCTCAATTCAGAAAAAGACCCCCCTCCTCCTCCTCTCACACACACTCTTTCTCTCTCTCCCCTCTCTCTTCTCTCTCCTAGAAAAGAAATCTCATAAAATAATAAATAATAATTATAACAAAAATAATAAAATTAAAAAATATAATAAAATAAAAATCGATCTAAACCAGGGAAAGAAAGAAGACCCATCCAAAACCTTGAGAGTCACCCGAGGAACTGGTTCCCATTTGGAGATTTCCACTGCCACTAAGCAATTCCTCTCGTTTTTTGCTTTTTTCTTTTTCTTTTTCTTTTCTTTTTTTTTTTTTTTTTTTTTTTTTTTTTTTTTTTTTTTTAACACTGGCGCCGTTTCGAAGCCTAAGCGGCCCAAAGTAACGATCTGCAACCGTCCCCGACGGGACGTCGTCAGTGGCACTAGGCCATCACCAACACGGCAACGCCAGGGCTTCCCTTCGTCCCTGCGGTCCATCCTCATGCTGAGATCCTGTATTTGTTCATAAGCTTCGCCGATCCCCTTCGGGGCCCTTCCCCAGACTGTCTTGTCTTTCCTTCTTCCTGACTGTCGGGTTCTCACCTTCAAGGGATTTCTGGATTGTTTTTCTACCTCGAGCTGACCTGGCTCTCTTCTACTCTTTCTTCTCTACTTATTTCCCTGGCTACTGCCCTCAGGAAACTATTTTACTTTGCGCCTCTCCATCATCCTCGAAGCTTGTCCTACACTTGCATTCTGCGCCTTCCGTTCCTCTATACATTTTGCGCGGATCAATTCATCTGCTCCTCCCATCCTCCTTGTTGATCATCCTCGCGAATCTATTTTTCTCTCTCCCACCCCCTTCCATTCTTCTGCTCCTCCCCACCTTCTACCATTCCAGTTCACCCGCGCAATTCCCTTCTTGACCTTTCGCGGGGAAATCCTGTGTTTTGGTTCCTGCATTTTCCCAGGGATATCTTTGCGCCGTGATCTCGTGCCCCCAACGTCGACCACGTCGTTAAATTATCTTTCTTGTCTCACTTCTTTTTTTAAATTCAAATCCACGCGATAAACCAACTATCCTCCATGACGATGGTCATTGAGAACCAGAACCGCCAATACGGCGGGATGGGCTTCGATAACGTGTATCAACACAACATGCACCACAGCGCTCCGCAGTTCACCGACCCATGGACCGCTCAAACTTCGTCCCATTCCACTCCCCCGGTCTACGCGACTTCCATGGGACCCAGCCAGATTGGCCTCAGCCATGTTAAGCAGGAGGAAGTGAGCCGCCCACCGATGTCTATGCCATACTCGAGTATTCCCGTTTCCGCTCCCTCGATGGTCGCCGGGAGCAACTATCCTACTGCTACTGCTTCGAGTTACCCCGGACCGGAGATGATGGGTTTGTCGCACGACATGCCGCGCACTTCTTTTGATCAAGCTCCGGCCTACACCACCGCCTCGCCCATGACCAGCTTCGCGCCTGCGAGCTACGCCCCGCTTAGCTACGCTCCGTCTATGCACCAACACCAGGACCGTCGGATATCTCATGCGTAAGTTTACCTCATGATCTGAAGCTTTCAGCGGTGTGTATATGGAGGGAAATATGCTTACATTCATTTTTTTTGATCTTGTGTAGTGATGCTCGCGTCGGTCAATCGCAACCCCCTTCCGCCCCAACATTCGGAGATGCTCTTGATGCCAGCCGCGGAATGGTCGCGCTCAGCCAGGATATGACACCTCGCAATATCTACGGCCCTCGCAGCTCGCGAGGCTCGGGTGACTCTTACGGTTTCCCCTCGACACACTCTTCTGGATCGTCGATCTCTTCCGGCGGAAACTACCCCTACTATTCCGCCTCTGTCGCATCTGTGGAGTCCTCTGTGACTGACTACAGCTCTACTACCTCGGAATCTTACGAGAACGGCCACCTGTCGCGGACGCTGCCTCGCCCGTCGAACCTGTTGACGGGAAGTGCGCCTCCGGGACCCCAGTCGATGATGAGCCAGTTTAGCTCCAAGATGCCGTCCAACACCCAGAAGAAGCACAAGTGCAAGGTGTGCGACAAGCGGTTTACCCGCCCGTCGTCTCTTCAGACCCATATGTACAGTCACACTGGTGAAAAACGTAAGTTCCAGAACGAGTCTCTTTTAGTAGTGGTCTGTGATACTAATAGTCGGGAATCTAGCATTCGCATGTGACGTGGAAGGCTGTGGCCGTCATTTCTCGGTCGTCTCTAACCTGCGGCGGCACAAGAAGGTCCACAAAGGAGAAAAGGAAGGTGCTTCGGGCGAAGACGAAGAGTAAATCAAGCCACTCTTCCTTTCAGTCTCGAATGCCTCCCCCTTAACGCCACCTTAACGGGGCGGAGGAACAGCGGACTACGATCCTGAGACGCATCGCAACACATTGTGCGACGTCTCACTCCTGAATCGGGTTCGGTGTTTTGTACAACAGCTTCGATTCCTCTTCTACTACTTTTCTTCCTCTTTCCGTCTCGGCCAGTGTGGCAGAGAAACGATACCCCATTTCCTTTGTTTCCTTTGTTTTTTTTTTTTTTTTTTTTTTTTTTTTTTCTCAGATTCCCCTGGACAGGCAAGACACGGTACAACGGCTCGGAGGGTTGCTAGTGATGTCTTTATTACCCAAGTTTATGACCATAGAGGTACCGGTTGTTTTGCTGGTTGGTGATTTGGTTTTTCCTTTTTGGTTTTGATTACCCATTTCCTTCTTATCTCTCGCTAGACTAGGGAGTTGGTCCGATGTTGTTTGATTTCCTTTTCTGTTCGGCATGGCTTTTTCTGCTCAGATACCAGCTGGGGTTTGGTTCTTGATGATTCACTTCTTTTTCCTGCGTTTCCGTGACACGATTACAAATCGGAATTATACGCAGCAGGCCTTTTTTTTCTCATGTCCTTTTTCTTCCACGATCTAGAATATTTCCTTTCTTCTCTCCCCCCTTTTTTTCCTTGTGTTTGTTTCCATCCGGTTACTTGACCTTTTCCTTGCGGTGCCGCAGATGATTTGTTATCGGGAATTAGCATGGGCCGTTGATCTGAGTTGGGTTTGATTTTCTGCTGGGATAAATTGCTATAAGGAGGTGCACTCGCGTTGGCGAGTGCAGGGCTGATACCCGTTGCAATTGGGCGGAGCATGGGCTGGGAAATGCAGGCTGATTTGTTTGCCACGGTTAAACTTGTTTGGAGCATACAAGACACCCACGGTGTCACCACGGTCGCTACTATATACCTTATTGTCTAATCAAGATGCTTGAAATGCACCCCCGGGGTTCCTTGTAGAGTGACGCTATCGTTATCTCTGTACTTTTTTTTCTTCTTTCGAATCAGTCTTCAATGCTCAGTGACAGTGATTCCTGGTCCGCACGCGCCCGACCTGTACAGCCTTCACGGGAGATGGATCCATCTACGTTGCCCTAGAAGTACGAAATCCTTCTCCGTGCAGCAGGTAAGCTAAGACCCTTGCTTGCTTGCCTGCTTGCGTCCATCCATCGGCGTACCTTCTTCCCTGGGACTTGAGGGAGCTGAACCGGAAGCTAAAGCATCTGTGCCTTGGGGGCCCAAGCAAGGGTCACCCCCGACTTTCTCCGCATCGTCCGAATGTCCGTCTGTCAATCAATTCTCGGATATTCCGAACGGACGATTATCGGTATCTGTTTCTATTTCCATATTGCTGTTGGTCTATTACAAGTCAACTACGTTTCTCGATGATGGACCTGTGATGCCGACAAGATCACCCCAAAGCAATTGCCGCTGCTCTCGAGTCAGACGTCGCGCACACACACACACACTTCTTCCGATGTGTTTTGTGTCGACGCTGCGATACCGGGATTATCTTTATCCTGCTAGTAAATTCGTGATGGAAATGTTGAGCGAGCAGCCTTAGTTGGATATGTATAATATGTATATTCTCCGATATGTGCCAGGGGAAAGTTGATCTTGACGGGTTTGGTGGTGGTGTAACAGGTCGCTCGCCGGGCCGGGGTATTAGAGAAGTGGTCTCGCTCTGAGGATTCTGCATAAACCTGCAGGATTTACTAACTATTCTATATTCATGCTCAGCTCAAATCAGAGGTATCTTGCCATATTCGAATATAATCGTCAGCAAAACTCGCAGTATCCAGCCACACGGCAGGTCGCCGCCCCGGTAGTATAATTCGGCGTTGTGGCATCATACCGTTCCGTCTTCGTGTTGAGCGTGCCTTGAGCCTTTCTGACATTGCATCTTATTCTACGCTGTATCTATAGATGTAAACAGACAGTACACCGGGGGTGTGCATCTCCAGGAGGACTTGCAGTCTAGTCATATTGACCTGCTCCTCATCTCTATGCATCCACACAGAGACTTAGTAGGTTCTCTTTGCCCTACCAAAGTCGGGGAGAGCCAATAATACACATGAATTGCAGACGAGAAGCTCCGCTGTGAGGATGGTACTGATATCTAGATTCGGCAGAATTGTCATGAAGCTTACCAACCGATCCTCTAGAACTGCGTCTTCGTTATTTAGAAATTGAGTCTCATACCCACAAACATAGCTAGAGAGCCTGTATGTTCGACACGCGATAGCTATTATTACATGGTCTTGCTGTCCTACCGTGACAGTTAGTTGCGCTACGCTCCGAATTTTTATACGAGATAAAGCTGACGGTGAAGCACAGCTGCCAGTTCTGATCATTGTGCGAGCTCTGCTGACATATTTCTCATGTCGCGGGTACCGGCGTGGATTGTTCATGATCTTGATGGATCTATATCAGAATATGATTGTTGTATGACTATTTGGGGCTGTTTATTTACAACTAGTATCTGAATCCCGAATTCACACCCATCAGCCGTCCCTGGTATCTCTCTATCACCTCTCCCAGCTTTACCATGACTCCTGCGGCTAATGTCCGCACCTGTTCTCGTGGATCACTTGTGTCTTGGACCGGTGGCGTCCGATCGAATATCTCTCCTACCCACTCTCGTAGCTCCATGACCTGCGTGGCAAATTCGGTGACCAGGCGCTCTTCTCCGGATGTTCCGGAGGCGATGTTCAGATCTACAGCTGCGAGGAAGAGGGATAGAAGCGAGGACAAGATGCCTGGATCGTCTGATATGGGGCGTGCATGGAGCGAGAGCAGGAATGTCAATGTTTCGTGCGTGACGGCTGCAAGATAGGGCGTGTGGGGGCCCATTGTTGAGAGGATGAGAGTGAGAGTTTGAATGAAGAGACCGAGGAGATGCGGAGCGTAGAAGGGATTGTAGGAGGGAGCGGTGGAACTGGTTTATTAGTGATGATGGCTTGGCGAAAGATTTGGAGGAAGGAAAAACTTACGACGAAAATTGCATGATCATCATTTCGAAACGACCCTTCAGAGGATAGAAGAACCCATCCGCAAGGACCCTGTATAGATCTTTTGCGGTGGACTTCTGTCTCTGTGCCTCACGTTGCTGACGTTTCTTTTCGACTTCCATACGTGAGGAGAATGTGCGGACCTTCAGTGCATTGGGCCCTGATAGCGAGTCTGAGGCCTGGGCAGCCAATGGTTCGAGCGAGGCGCGTGATAATTGCTTGGTTAGGCTTGCGATGGGCGATTGGGTCTCTGGCTGATACAAGGCTTCGAGGTTGCCAGGGAGCTTCTTAGACGGGAACGAAGCGTCGGATACGCGTGGTAGACCTAGTGCTTTAGCGTCTGCTTCGCCATTTCCGCCGAGTTCGCGAGCACCCAGGCCTAGGGCTGTAAGAATTGTAGAGCGCTGTGGTTGAGATAGGTCTCCATCGAAGAATATGGCCGAGAACCAGTGGCCCATCTTAAGAGGTTGAGATACGATCAATGCGATCATACTTTGAAGTTGAATTTCCTGGAATTTGGGGATCTTTCCATGCTCCTGTAAGCCCACGACGACAAGTGCCAATTCTTCTATATTCTCAGCAAGCTCTGTTCCAAAGCCAGTCTTGCGTCGGATCAGGCTAGGGGCGGTAGCAACAGCCAATTCGTAGCGCTCTACATTCTCAGTGTCGCGTAGGTAGGTTATCAGGTCGCGGATATACCTAACTCATGTTAGTGATCATATGGTTACGGCTAGTGTTGTGACATACACTGGTGCGGTAGGTTTGTTGCGTTGAACCAATGTTGGGTCATCATCAGAATCTGAGGGATCTTCATCGGGCTTTTCATATGGGATGAGATCTTCGTCTTCGTCGTCGTCATGATCCGAATCATTGATCTCTTCTATGGCGACAATCTTTGCTCTTCTGGTGTCTTTCTTTGGCGTATCGGTCCCAGATGTTTGATTCTTGCTACGCTTCTCGGTTGGTCTTGTCGCAGGCCCTCTAAGCGTTTCAATGGATTCAATAGACCCAACGGTATCGTGTAGTTTGGCAAGGTCCAAGTACCAATGTGCCTCATCACTCTCCATCTCCTCGAGATCAAACCTCATCCCTTTGCCCTGTTGCTCGATGAGCTGCGAAATTGTAGTTCCAATCAGCATACCGAGGAACCGAGCTCTGGGTGAAGATGCCGCCAGGCGGTTTGAGACAGTGTTCAGAAAGATTCCAGTGCGACCAATGAACATCATTGCTGCAGGATCAAGTCGTTGGAGGTATCCCGCAGCGAGAAGAACAACTTGGGCATTGGCTGAGAGAGGTCAGTGCCTACCTCCTATATGTAATGTATGGATATTGTACCTTCTTGACACCTAATGGGAGCGTGCTGAATGTAGAACTTGTCGCCTGATTGATCTAGACTCTTACTAAGAAGAGTATTGATCGAGTCTAATGCGATCCGTGTCAGCAGGAAAACATTGTTAAGCAGGCTTAGTCTCACCTTCTTGCTGTGCCAGTATAGCCACTAGAGCACGACGCAGCCCCAATGAATGTATCGAACCACCTTGGCCTTTTGAGAGCCAGTCTATAATCTGACCTTGCAGATCTGACCGTTTTGATACGGCAATTGAGCAGAGAGCTGCTACACTACTAACCACTTGTCCCGAGGTGTTGCTGGCACTGTCGCCAGGTATTTCACCTGAGAACTGCCTCTTCTCGAGATCTCGAAAGACAGCTTCGAGCAGTGCTAGCTGCTCCGTTGGCCGGAGACGGTCAAAAAGCGAGCTGTACTGTTCAGAAAGTGCTCGCTGAACAAGAAGTCCAGTATATATTTCTTTGACCACCTGATCTGCATCATTATGCTTAGCCTACCAAGCCTATCAGCGGAGGCGTCCTTAAATACCTGTATAGCCCAAGCTTAGCGACCTCCCAGTCAAAAGAGCCACAGCTTTCCATGCCTCTTCATCACCGAGAGCAGTCTTCGAAGACATATAGAAGATGTTGGAACCTAGCCAGGTGGCGTACTTTGAGCCTTCCCCAATCCATGAGATTGTGGAAAGCCCGTCAAGCCCAGATATCAGAGTAAGCGCTTCCGCCGCCGTCGACAAAACTTTACTGGCAGCAAGTATTGAGAGCAATTCCCTCCAAGCCACTTGCTTCTGTGTCGCATTGCTGTACAAATCATCCATGTCAGTGTATAGGCGAAACGCAAAGTCACTCGGCTCCAGCAAGGCGGAAATAACCGCAAGTGTATCTCTAATCTGTATCTTATGACCGGATGATTTGGCTTGCTCAGCCGATGAACGGGACGCAGCTATGAGAGAACGGAGCTGGGTCACCAGGCAACTGATTCCCGCAACACTGCTGAGACATCTCAGAAGAGCAGCTCGTAGCTTCGTATTACCTGATTTTGGACTTTGGGATTGTGGCCCAAGAGCCCCCCAATGATCCGGAACTGTAATACTAACCAGAACATTGAGAATTTGCGCTGTTACTGGGCGCGGGACCCGTATATCAAAACCGGTAGGGGATGCTGTCTTATTTGATGGATCTAGTATGGCTAGAGCCTGAGCGAGTTCGTGCTCGTCGGGTTTTGCCTTCAAAACGGCCAAGATATGGTCTGAGGATGTTGCGTCCCCGGGGAGATCGGCTCTGGACCGGTGCTCAGAGCCGTTGGATGTGGTGGCTGGATATATTCCCTCGGCAGCAGCCGACAAGACGGGCTGCTGGCTGTGCTTGACCGTCTTAACGGCCGTAAGTAGACCATCCATTTTACAAATGTGGCATTATCCTCGTAACAGTTGCGAGGAAAGGAGGATCAAGTTGTGGAAGTTGGAGGAAATTGTATGGCGCGGAGGGGTCACGTGGGGCGGTGCTGTATCGATCTAACGACCATTGGAGCTCACCATCCTCATCATCCCATCATCACCTCCACACTGTCTACAACTTGAAATCTCGAAATCTATAGCAACGTAGCTCTTGGCTCTGGAGCTAGTATTTTGCTTACATCTCCGACACCAGATTATCTAAACTGGCGCAGGAGCTCATAATAAGTGCAGCTCGGAGGCAAGAGACACTTGCTTATGCAACAAGAGCTTGAGTAGAGGCAAATAACTAGCGACCTATCTAACCTAGACAACATAATCGGAAAATGGCAGCTACAGGTGCGCCTCAGCGATGGTGAGATGGCTTCTTCACCCGTTAGCAGCAGCTGCTCATATCACCAGGAAACATCTATACAGCGTCCTGACTAAGTCTGGACCCTTCAGCGATGAAGATTGGGTCCCTGGGCAAGAGACGATAAGTGCTTTAGAGTCATCGAAAATTCTGTGCGTTTCTACGACCGTGATAATGCCGTCATGCTCGCTAACAGAACTACAGAGTCATGTTAGTCAAGGCGATTCTTACTCCCTTAAAGGTTCAATAGATAATAACCAAGCACTGCTTACAGAGGAGCTGGAGGTCTAGGATGTGAAATACTCAAGAACCTGGCATTATCAGGTTTCAAAGACATTCACGTCATTGACATGGGTAGGTCCTTCCTAACTCGCAAACACAACAACTGACTAACACAGGCAGATACGATCGATATTTCCAACCTAAACAGACAGTTTCTATTTCGCCAGTCAGACATAGGCAAGCCCAAAGCTGAGGTTGCTGCTGCCTTTGTAGAAAGACGAGTCAAGGGAGTTAAGATCACTCCCTATGTAGGAAAGATTCAGGACAAAGACGAAGATTACTACATGCAATTCAAGATCATCGTCTGTGGTCTTGATAGCATCGAAGCCAGACGATGGATTAACTCGACCCTGGTCGGAATGGTTGATTTCGAGGATCCAGAAAGTCTGAAGCCGCTCATCGATGGCGGAACAGAAGGTATATTTGCTCACTCATGCTGGAGGGGAAATAAACACAGCTAACCGATAACAGGATTCAAGGGACAGGCGCGTGTAATTCTACCCACGCTTTCCTCTTGTATCGAGTGTCAGCTTGACATGCACGCGCCGCGACCGGCCGTCCCTCTTTGTACCATCGCAACCATTCCGCGCCAGCCTCAACACTGCATCGAATGGGCTCATCAGATCGCCTGGCAGGAACAGCGCAAAGATGACGCATTTGATAGTGACGACATGGAGCACATTGGCTGGGTCTACAATGCTGCTCTGGAGCGGGCGAAGCAGTTTAATATCCCCGGCGTCACTTTCCAGATGACTCAGGGAGTCGTCAAAAACATTATTCCAGCTATTGCCTCAACCAATGCCGTGATCGCAGCCGCGACTACCTCCGAGGCATTGAAGATTGCCACATCTTGCAACCCTTACCTTGAGAACTATATGATGTATGCGGGCGAAGAGGGCGTGTACACTTATACCTTCGAGGCGGAGAAGAAGCCAGACTGCCCGGTGTGCGGAAATCTGGCACGCAAATTGACTGTGAACCCGAATATGACGCTCGAAGAATTCATCGAAACCCTTGGAGAACGGCCCGAGGCTCAGCTGAAGAAGCCTAGTATGAGGACGGAGGAGAAGACACTCTACCAACGGTTCCCGCCGCAGTTGGAGGAACAGACTCGCGCTAATCTGAAGCTCAAGCTGAAAGACCTGATCGAAGACGGTCAGGAAATTGCAGTCAGTGACCCGGCGTATATCATCGATTTCCGCTTCCGACTGGCGTTTCAATAGACAGAGGGCCCCTGAGATGGACCTGCAACTACACGTTACGAAGAATCGCTGATGCTCTGATGATCATGTTCAAGACCTAGGAAGTCAAATCTGCTTTTTCTATCACAAAAAGATCCCAGTCCAGACTCCCAACAAGTGTAAAGAAGGTTGTCACCAACTTTTCGTAAAATGTACAAAATCAACAAGACAATCCAACGCCAGGCCAATGCATTATATAGCTTTGAATCATTTTTCACGGAAGGCGGAGCCAAATGGCTTTGACTTAGCGCATAAGGTCCGTCAAGCCGCGCTTCCATCTTGCGCATTTCAGCTTCAGGACCTTGACGCTCTCCAGGAAGAGGGTGTCGCTTTCGAATTGGCCAACACTCTCGATGTTGAAGATGAAGTGGTCGCGGACGCGACCGAGCTTGACCTTGCCCTGGAACTCCTCGTGTCTCAGACACTCTCTGCTGACGGTATCCTTGAAGGGATCCACAACAACGGCCTTCAATTCGCCCTCGTGGCCCTCATATCCGCTGTCCTTCTGCTTAGCCTCCTCACGAGTGACCTTCTCGAGGCCAATGACACCGCTGGGGAAGCACTTGGCGAACTTCTTGGCATCGTCACCGATGATGGGGCGGAGGATCTTGATGTCGGGTAGTAGACGGTAGGTGGCCGTGGCGACAGGGGAGAACTTGGCATGGTCGGCACCGATACCCTTGATACAGTGAAGTTCCATTTCAATCGCCTGACCGGGGCGAAGCTTGGCGACCAGGATGTCCGGGTTGACGGGCTGAATTGCGTCATCGCCAGCAAAGAACTGTTCCTGGCGACCGACGGGGTGGAATGTGATATCTTTGGCGTAGACGTGCGCATTCTTGTAGAGTTTGCGGGGGTCAGTCTCCTCGGGATCCGCGTTGGGGTTCTTGGTACATTCGACGTCCAAGCGCAAGACGATGGTGTTGTAATCGGCGGGACTGCTGCCATTGGGATCGTCGTCGGTAGGCTTCTTGAACCAGCGCATCCAGTTGATGCCCTCCACGGAACCCTTGAGGGGAATCAGACCCAGACGTTGTGCGAGAACCTCATCCTGAATGACAGAGGTGTTGTTGTGGACGAAGACGTATTCGATGGCGATGCTGGGCACCTCAGCCATGAGAATGCGACGGAAGGCATTGGCAATGGAGGCGTCGACTCCGATGAGAGAGAAGGAGGATTCGAATCGCTCGTTGCGGTGGAAGTCGATCTTGAGATCCTGTTCGCGAAAAAAAAGATGTGTGAGCGTAAAGCTGATGAAGCTTGACTGGGAGGAGGGGCAATTGAGCGCGGACACTTGAGTACTACCAACGTACATTCTTGAACTTTTCGAGGGACCATTCGTGCGACTCGCCGGGCCAGTGACCAGGAAAATCTGTGGAGGGGATGTTGGAGACGGTCTCTGGGTTGATGTCGACGATCTGGAAGTCAATGCAGTCAGTATGATGAAGGACGAAAGAGAGAGAGAAGAAGCCACGGTCGGAAGAGGGAACATACCCTTCTGCGATCAAGCTCCTCCTGCGAGGGAACGAGAGGCGCCATGATGGACGAGAATGTATATGCCGCGGGGAAAATTGGAGGAGGAAGAGGGACAGACGAAGTGGAGGGAGCAACTGCGAAAAGTTCTTTGGCGGAAGCGGCAGTATTTTCTTGAAATTCTGCAGGCCGCAAAGGCGGAAAGATGGTTGGTTATAACACACCCAGCAGTTTAGGCAGGAATTGGCACTAGTGGCGGGAGTTATAGACGGCCAACGGCAGACCAACCAGAGACGGGCTGATGACCATAAGCTCCTCTCACGTGACTGCCCAAATTGTATCTCGCCTGGAAAGCGCAACCTCATCCAACGAGGAGCAAGCGTCAGTCCGCATCGCTTCCAATCCCCGCCAATTCCCCCTCCTTCCAACCCAATTGCGTCTGGATTGAGGGCTCTCCGCCTCACTTCACCCTCATCCTCACTCCCCGCTCTCCCGAATGGCTGCTTCCTTCACTCGCCTGGCGGGCAGCGCGCCCAAAAGGCTCTGCCTCCGCCCGTCGAGCTTCTCCAGAAACACTGCTATCCCCAGATCCCGGACGATTTCGACGTCGCTGCCTCGCCGGTACGCAGAGCCCACCAGCTACCAGGCCACCCGTCTCATCCCGGCCGACCCGACTTTCACATCTCTGGCCAACAAGGAGGGCCCTTCGGAGGCTGATGTGGGCGCCGCCCTCGAGTCCGAGGACTCTGGAGCCGGCCGCAAGATCCGCCATTACACTGTCAACTTCGGTCCCCAGCATCCTGCTGCTCACGGTGTGTTGCGTTTGATTCTGGAGCTCAATGGTGAAGAGATCGTCCGCGCCGATCCCCACGTCGGTCTGCTTCACCGTGGTACCGAGAAGTTGATCGAATACAAGTCCTACATGCAAGCCCTGCCGTACTTCGACCGATTGGATTACGTCTCCATGATGACCAACGAGCAGTGCTTCTCCCTGGCTGTTGAGAAGCTGCTGAACATTGAGATCCCTGAGAGAGCCAAGTACATCCGGACACTGTTCGGTGAGATGACACGCATTCTGAACCACCTCATGTCCGTCCTTTCCCACGCGATGGATGTTGGTGCTCTGACACCTTTCCTGTGGGGTTTCGAGGAGCGTGAGAAGCTCATGGTAGGTGTTTTCTGGCATGCTGAGCTGTATGCGAGCCGCAATGACTGACACGAGTCCTCTCAATTAGGAATTCTACGAGCGTGTCTCCGGTGCCCGTCTCCACGCTGCCTACGTCCGCCCTGGTGGTGTGTCTCAAGATCTGCCCCTTGGTCTCCTCGACGATATCTACCAGTGGGCTACTCAGTTCGGTGACCGCATTGACGAGACCGAGGAACTGCTCACGGATAACCGTATCTGGAAGGCCAGAACCCAGGGTGTTGGTGTCGTCAAGGCTGCCGATGCTCTCAACATGAGTTTCACTGGTGTCATGCTGCGTGGTTCCGGTGTCCCCTGGGATATCCGTAAGTCCCAGCCTTACGATGCCTACGACCAGGTTGAGTTCGACGTGCCCGTCGGTGTCAACGGTGACTGCTACGACCGTTATCTCTGCCGTATGGAGGAATTCCGCCAGTCCCTCCGCATCATCCACCAGTGCCTGAACCAGATGCCCGCTGGTCCTGTCCGCGTTGAGGACTACAAGATCTCTCCTCCTCCCCGTGCGGCCATGAAGGAGAACATGGAGGCCCTGATCCACCACTTCCTTCTGTTCACCAAGGGTTACGCCGTTCCCCCGGGTGAGACCTACTCCGCCATTGAGGCCCCCAAGGGTGAGATGGGTGTGTTCCTGGTCAGTGACGGTAGCGAGAGACCCTACCGCTGCAAGATCCGTGCTCCTGGATTTGCTCACTTGGGTGGTTTCGACCAAGTGTCTCGTGGCCACCTTCTGGCCGATGCTGTCGCTATTATCGGTAAGCTATACCCAGACTGCCCCTTTTCGCACTAACTGCAAGCTAACACATATCTTTTCAGGAACAATGGATCTTGTGTTCGGTGAGGTTGACCGGTAGAAAAGGATGGGACCGTCTGATTCCAACGAAGACCTGTATAACAGCTCAAGACACATGACCCTGATTTATTGGTGCCAAAATCTCGATTAGAAGTTGCAGATATACCAAGAGAAAGATTAATTGTCTCTATTATTACCATCATTCGGCTTGTGCGAGTTGTGTAACAGGTCCCCTTGGCCATGGCGATCTCCAAATCCAGGTCCAGCCTGCTGTACCAATGTCCTTTGCTTGCTTTTTTTCATGGCGTTGACTTTTTCCTTTGTCTGTGTCGCTGATGCTGCTTCCATCGACTGTGTCTGTCCGTCCCCTTTCTTTTTCTCCTTGTTCTCTTCCATAAACCCTGTGTATAGTGATCAAAACATCGACTACGATTTGGATTAGATTGGAGTAGTAGTAGTAGTAGTAGTAGTAGTAGTAGTAGTAGTAGTAGTAGTAGTAGTTTGTGGAAAGTGAATTGTGTCTTGTGAACGTATTCAAATTTGACTGTT